GGCGGCTACGGCGACGAACCGGAAGTAGCTACGGGGCGGTGGCGGGGACAAACCAGAAGTGGCTGCGAAGCGAGGGCGAGGGAACGCCGGAAGCGGAAGTGGAGCGGCTCCCTGATCGGCCCCACGTGAGGTTGCCCTGAGAGGGGCAAATGGTTCCGCCCGGCTCGCAGCCCCACGGGGTTCAGCTGCTGCTGGGGGCACACAACCCAGGGGGAAGGAGCAGCTGTTCCCAAGGACAGCCCACAGGGAGCAGCCGGCCCCCACCCACCCACCCACCACTTGGGGTGGATGGGGACAAATTAAATCCAGAAAGGTGCAAGTCAGCCTGGACCTGCCTGGCTTGTGACTGCGAATTCGAACTGGAGTCGCAACAGAAAAGCACAAGCAGGAGCAGCTGAGTACTTAGCTCCAGGGTACTTCAATGATCATAAGGCAGGCCCAAGCATCAGCTGTTCCCCATGCAATTGAATCCAACATTTTGGGGGCAGAGCTGGGACTGCACCTAGCTCTGTGCTTGGTGAGGAGCCAGCCTCAGCTGCAGCAGACGATCTACCACTTCTTCAGCAGACCACTGCCTCTCCTCACCCGCACAGCCCCCCTGCAGCGGGCAGACTTCCGAAACCAAGACCATCTCCCCCCAAACCTGGCAACATGCACAAGAGAAAACTTGCACTTGGTGAAGCCACTTTATTTATGTTACTTAGGACTGTACAGTGGAACACGGCATAGGGAAGGCGACAGTGGTTACTTTTTCAAATAGGAACTGGGCTGCCAGTAGCAATACCAGCAGCAAAACAGGGACCCCACGCCACCCCTTGCGGGGGAAGGGTCCCATTAACCCTTGCTGGTGCAGCTCAAGGCAATATGGTTGACAAGAACAGAATCAAAAACCCAGACATCTAGATTACAGTTGCATAAGGAAAAGTGTAAACAGGTCTCTGCAATAAGGACGTCGACAGACTCCAAATGTCTTTTGTGTTTACCTCACAGGACATGCCCAGCTGTCCGCTTTCAAAAAGGTAAAAAGGAGCAAGCCCTCAGGCTGCCTAAAGAAAAAGCACAGCTCAAGTGCTGGACAATCCAGCTCCTCCACTCGAGTCAAACAACAATCATTTAGTTAAGCCAGCTTGACTTCCATCTTCCATGTGCTGCTACCGGTCCGCAGTCTGCCCTGCCTCATAGCCCTCCGTCTTCATGTCATTGAGACCCAGCTCCTCGTTCTGCTCAAACGTGCGCTTGTAGTGCTCCACCTTCAGCTCTGGGTCTTCCTCCGGAGCATACACGTTCTGAGGGTCCAGAAAAAAAGTCCAAGTCAGCCACCTCTCCTGCAGCCTGACTGGTTCCCAGGGCAGCAGCACATACTAGGAACTCGCTGGGAAATTCAGGAAGGGACCTCAGAACTCAGTGAAGCCTCACCCTTCCTCTGAGAAAAAACAGGCTAACCCTTGGCTTTCCCCAACGCTTACACAGCAACATGGCACTGAACACCCTGCCCCAGACCAAAGAGAGCAGATGGGAGACGAACCCCAGTCCTAGCTCCCCATGCTTTCACCACAGGTCTCCTATCCAGTTTCCCTGCCCTCCTTGAGTTTAACCAGAGTTACCTGAGAGTGGCTGAACTAACCTATTATCTCCCCCCTCTCTCAGCCCCTTCACGGGCCCTTGGCTGCTGAATAGCAGGGCAGGTTCTGCCGATTATTCTCTGATAAGCAATTATTAAGGAGACTTGGGGGAACTGCCTTCACAACTGCCCTGTTTACCTGAAGGTAGCTGTTCCCTGCAGAATCATCCATAATGAAGTGAGCCTCCATCTGCCCCTCCATGATCTGAGGAAACAGAGATCAACAGCTGTAACGACCACTGCTGAAGGGCTCAGAGCATCCTGGGTGCCCCGCTTTAGGAATGAAGCCTCCATCACATAAATCTTATATCAGGTGCCCATGATCAGTCAGTCAGTCTCATTGACACAGGTACATCCCCATATCAGGCAGAGAAGGCATCGGAAGGTATTTTGACTGCCTTCACCATTCAACAGACTGTTAGGTGTTCTGGTTGATATTCTGCTCAGGAATATTAATAGTTCTGAAGTAAGACTCGCAGATCCCGCCATGCAGCCCATTTACAAGGGGACACTGGTGGAAGGGGTCTCGGGAACACCACCTACATGCCTCAGATTTCAGTTACATGCACTTCAGATCTGGAGGAAACAAATCTGAAGCACTTGCCAATTAAGCTGAAAGACACCAACCTGCTGCAGCTTTCTGCCAAACTCCTGCAGCTTCTCCACTTTGCTTGGGGCAGAGCTGTCCCCAAGCGTGAAGGGGTTCTTCTGCACCTGCAACACACACAGGCCAAGTGAAACTAACTTGCCTGCTGATTGTGCCCATATTCCCCAGGGCTTTAAACCCTGGTGCAGCCAACAGGGAACAGGAATAGGTGACCAGGAAGGACAGCGCCCTTCTACACCTCCACCCACAGTATGGTCTTGTAGGCTCATTTTCTGAGACTAACAGCTCAGACCTTTAGATTAGGGCAGGGAAGGCTGCAGGGTAGCAGGAGCTATGCTGATCCCTGGCTCTACCCAGTGAGCCCCAGAGGGTGCTACAGGCCAGTTAGCACCAGCTCACTGGTATCTATGCCACACAGCTGCAAGCAAACTTCAGTTGTGCCCAGTCTCCCCAGTACAAGCTGCTTACCAGGTCTCTGATGTCCTTCAGGAGCCCTTCCAGAGTGGTGAATTTCCCCCCCAGGGCCCCCATTCCCAGCTCAAACTCCAGCTCTGGAATCTCCACACTACACGTCTCTGACTGCAGTGAACAAAAAAAGTGGCGTGTTTAGACATGTCGTGCCAGGGGGTCTTAAAGGGAGGCTATGGACTTGTCCTCTGACACCACAGTCCACCATCAGGGCCAAGACCACAGCAAGCACTGGGTGGTATGACCCAGACCACTGCTATGCCTCCTTCTGCCAAATCAGATGCAAGAAAGAACAAAAGAACCCCCAGAGCAGAAAGGGGGCTCTGAAAGGAGACGTTACCTTGAGAAGGTCTCTCGTCATGTCAGAGAGATCTGTGATATGAAGGGTGATCCTGGTTCCCTCTAGTTCTATCGCTCCTCCAGATTTCACCTAAATACAGACTGGCAGTTAGTGAAACAGCATTTAGAGTACCTTACAGGAGGCACTTCCTCGGTCCTAGGGTCCCCAACAGATGGCTTGGGGCAGACATTAGTCATGCAGCTCTATCTGCTAAGTGACTAGCGGGATGTTTGGGCTGCAGGTGTTGCCTCGGATGGCTAGCATGAGAAAAAATGAAGTCCTGCCATCCTTAAGTTGTCTGGGAAACAAGACCCCCCTCCCCCAGCAGCCGACAGTTTGAAAACCTTTCAAGACCCCAGAAGTTTAAAGTCTATGCACCCAGAAGTAGCCAGGCTGGGAATACAAGCAGCTCCCTACCAGAAAGACACTGATGCAAGCATCATGCAAGATGAGCTTATGCCCAATTGAATACATGCCACGAAAAGCAACCAATAACCCCACTGTCTGCAATCTGCTCTGAAGAGTGGGTGAGGGTCCGAGGTAGAAAAGCAGGCAGATAACAGAACTTTGTCTCTGCAGAGAGGGCAACAAAGGCCCTCTTCCAACTGTCCCAACAAGCAGGGAGGCCACACTAGCAGCTCACCTCATTTGTCCTGTGCCCACAAACCTCACAGTTCGTAGCCATGATGATCACTTCCTTGAAATGTGGAATTTCTGCAGCAGTCAAGGGAATAAAAAGGAACAAGATCTTCCCCCACACTTCAGTAGTCCCAGCCCCACCTACTTCACACATGAGGATGCAACCTTTGCTGAATGAGAGAGGCAACTGACACGTTAAGGCCCAAGGGTGCAAGTCACCAGAGCCAGGAGCAATTTTTACAGGAAGTACCCAATTTGCAGCCTTTGGTTCCAGTTTACACAGGCTTCCGAGCCGTAAGTGGATCTCCGGGGGGGGAGGATCACACTGTCACAGGATATCAGATTAGATCACTCCTGTGGGGATGTCCTGCAGGAAAAGGAACCCAGCCAACATGCAGAAGAGAATTCCTGAGGCTCTCCCCATCACAGATCCTGTGAGGGAGGAAGACCTTCCACCTGTACCAGTCATCTGGTCACCACAAAAGGATACGTACTAGCTTCATATTTGTATTGGCAGGAGCGTTGCATTCAGGACAATTGGTGTTGAACTGCAACACCTAGAATGTAAGGACAAGTGAAACATCTGAGCTGATGCACGTCTGGAAGGAACATTCTTCTCAGAAGTAGTTTTTATCTAGATATGCATGACCCTGATTGCTCTAGTGCGAGGCCTAGTCCAGCAAGCTGGACATTTTAGGTAATCCTTTGCCTTGGCCCATGCAACACCATGTGCACTGGGGCACTGCTGAGAGAGTAAGCAGCACACTTAGATCCAGGGAGCCTGTCAGAAACAAGATCACTCACTTCATTCCTCAGGTCCTCCACAGAGTCAACTGGCTTCTCCTCTGGCTCATCTGCCTGAAACAGCAGAGACCAACATCAGTGTGCAAACTGCTCCCAGCACTTGATTCTCCAGTCAGGGACTTTCGGGGAAAACCTGAAGGGGAGGACTTCTGCTACTCAACAGCATTCCCCTGACAGACAAAGGAGGGACACACACTTCCCAGCTCCCTCTCACTAGACTGTATTACCTCAAGTCCAAGCATCGCAGCCTGCTGGGGAGTCCTCTTGTAATGAGTGACCACCAGCGCTTCATCCTTCTGTGGTGCATGGGGATTCTCCACAAAGCTGTTACCTGAGGGGTCATCAAGGATCTATCGGAGGAGAGGAAGTGTGAGAATCCGCTCCGACTGCCTCCAAAAGAGAAGCGGCTCCATCCCTACCTACTCCAGCCAGTACTTACAAAGGTGAAAGAGGAATCCACCTCCTTTAGCCGCTTTAGCTTGTCAATGAACTCATCTATTTTATTTGCAACCTCTTGGTCTGTTGCCTGCGAAAGGAATCATCCAAAATGTAGCTCCCTGGAACAACCTGAATCTCCAGACAGGGCTGTCAGAGGCCTAAGTCGGAGACCTCTGGATGCCCGGAGCTCATCAGCTAGCAGGCAACGGGCAACAACGATCAAGTTTGTAAAACCAGCGTGACCTATAAGCAGGCCTCTCAAGACAGCATTCCTTCTCATGGCATCTTACCCTGCGGACTGGCTGATCCTGCTCCAGGCCAGCTACAGCTCTGTCAATTATCCCCTCGATGGTGGTAAGAGCTTAAAAGAACACAACAACGTTAAGCATGGCAGGGTGGTGCTGCTGATGCAGCTGCCTTGGCCCCAACAGTTAGCACTCTTGCCTCACCAGGCCCTTTTAGGGTTCTTCCCTACCCTCCCAGATGAAAACAAGCTCCTGTTTGTCTGTCACTTCCCTGCCGAGACAGCACTATCCACCCACAGATTTGCCATGCGCTTGTCAGTGGACAACCGACCAGTCACCAGATCTCTACAGCCTTGTGTTAAAGGTGAGGCACAGGCTAAGCTGCAAAACCCTCTCTTTCTGCCAGGCATCTGGTGTTGCTTCAGGCAGACTCGCAGCTGGAAGAGTTGGGGCCCACGACAGGAAAATGCTACGATTTAAGACGGTAAAACCAGAAAGCCGAGCTCCCCCCACCTTCAGGCAGCCACCTCTGCAAAGCCCCACAAAGCACACACCGCGACATCCGTATGAGCACAGATCACCTACCCACCTCCCTTCTGTGAAAAAGCAGGGATTTCAAAGTCGAGCTCTGGGATCCTAGCTGTGGCACAGTCGGTCTTCACCACCTCCCTATTCATGTCCTGAGCAAAACAATTTAAAGAGAGATTAAATGCATGCAACAGGACAGTTGTTCGCTGCTTCTGTGCAGTCATAGCAGCAAAACTGCTTCTGCAAAATAAACACCCCAAGACCACGAGACGGTTGTAGTTCAGTTCCTACGCCATCGCTGCAGCACTGCAGGAAGGTGCCGAGATGCATTAGGGCCAACAGGAGCCTCATGTCTTTTCTCATCCTACCGAGGAGACGAGCCTGAGCACTGGACTGTTTTGTTACAGGAGGGCTTTTCATTTTTCTTAAAGAAGAAATTCACACGACTACTCATGGGGGAAAGGAGGGGTCCCAGAAATGGGCTTTGCACTTAGAGCAGCAGCTCTCAGGACAGCCCCTAAGAAAGCCCATTTTCCACACAGAATTGAGGTCCTGGTTCGAACCCGCTTCGATTCCCCCCTCCCCGTCTTGCCTCTGGTTGAACTGCCCTTGCGGACAGACAGCACAACCGCCCCTGGCTTGCAGGCCGTGTTCCCAGGTTCCTTCAAGGGGGCACTCGGTCCCTCACTGCGGGGAGAGCAGGCGACAACGCTACACAGGTTTCACAGGCGTTCGGGCTGGAAGGGACCTCGCAAGATCATCGGGTCCAGCCCCCGCCCCACGGGCAGGAAGGCTGCTAGGGTCAAAAAAGATCCCAGCAAAATAAGCATCCAAGTGTTAACGAGCCAGCTGTCGGCTCAGCCCAGGCCCCAGCTCTGCCAGTGCCGGCGGAGGCCGCGCAGGCTGCGGGCTGGTGGCGCCTCACAGGACACTCGGGGGCATCGTCCTGCACCAGCATCCAGGACGAGCGTCCTCGTCGGCCAGGCCGGGACTACCTCGTTAACACGCAGAAGCAACTCCCCTCTGCCGCCTGGCCGGGCCCATCCGAGCAGCCGGGGGCTCACCTGCCGGGCCGCGACGGCCAGGACGTAGCGCACCCCCTGCTCCTGGATGCGCCCGGCCGACTGGATCTCCGTGTTGGCCCAGGCGCAGCTGCCGCACGCGAAGGAGCTGACGATGACCTCGCGGAAGAACGGGATCCGGGTCAGCAGCAGCCGCGTCACCCCCTGGGACCGGGACGGGGACAGTGACAGGGACGGGACAAGTCAGCACGTGCGGGGGGGCCACGAGACAGCACAACCCCTCCCCCTCAACCCCCCCACAAATCCACACCCCTCCAACCCCTCCCCTCGCGCTCACGTGGCGGTAGCAGTTCATGCAGAGGGACTCCCTCTCTGCCGGCTGCTGCTCGTCGTCCTCGGCGCTGAGGGGCCGGAACACGCCGCCCGCCCCGGCCCCGCGCACCGGCTCCAGCGCCCCGATGGCTGACATGCCGCCCCGCTTCCGCCCCGCGCCCACCTCCGACCCGGAACTTCCTGCGCGGGCCCCGCCCCCTTTGAAGTATTGCCGCCATCCTGCGGCCACGTGACGCGGAACTACTCCCACTCAGGCTTGGGGGCCCGCAGTAGGCCGCAGCCTGGCCCAGACCCCCCCTGGTCACGGTGTCGTCCTTGGGCGGGTGCCTCCCGCAGGGGTGCAGGGGGTGATGGTCCCCCGCCACACGGCGCCGCTCGGGCCGCCACGTGTCGGCACTGCACTTCAAGGGGGACGTGGACAACGTGGAGAGGAGGCCACGCGTGGTGGCAGACCCATGAGGAGAGGCACTTTCCGAGCCTCCGCAAGGGAGGGCTGAGGGGCATCCTCCGACTGACTCCCAACACAATCGGTTCTCAAAATCGAAACATTGTCACTGGGAACCGATTTCCCCTCAGGGCACAAGGTTACCAGGGGGGGGGTCGCTTCACAAACCCAGCCCCCACACCCAGTTTTCACCAAAAATACCCCGGAAGGGTGTACTCGAGCAATTATAGATGAGCCCCAGAGCTCCACCAACGTATTTCTATCGTCAACAGCAACCGTGCGGGTTTGGAAGCACTCCTTCGCGGTGCCTCGGCCGGGCGTGTTGCAGAGCTCCTGGCTGGAGGCTTCCCGGGAGTCCTGGCTGCAGGTTTTCTGGAGTCTCGTCCGCTCTCGTGAAGACAGCGTCCAGGGAAGCTTGGACAGATGCTGTCCAGGGACACGTGTGACGCAGCGAACGTGTTCGCCGGCGTGGCGCGGCGTCGTGAAGTCAAAACCGACGTCAGAAAGTTGAAACACTAAATGGGTGTCCGTTTAGAAACGCTGCAGGTGCGAAACGTTGTAAATGGAGGACTGCCTGCGTACACATTCACCCGTGGGAGAGGCAGCAGGGAACAGGAGATGCTCTGTTCACCAGGGCACCCCTTGGAGTAACCAGCAGCAAAGGCCACAACCTGACCGGGGGCAGATTCAGGTTGGACACCAGGAAAACCGTCACAGTTCGAGTGGCCAGAGTCTGGGGCAGGCGCTCTCCCCTACCCCGGGGGTCTTCAAGAGGAGACTGGACGAGCACCTGGCTGGGGTCGTCTGACCCCGGCGCTCGTCCCTGCCCGGGGCGGTGTCGGACTCGATGACCTACTGAGGTCCCTTCCCACCCTCCCATCTATGAATCTACGTGCAAGCACACGGGCACCTTCGTGTCGCGCGCCGCGGGCACGCTGGCGTTCCAGAATAGATTAACGCCGAGTTGGCGACCCTACCAGGTGGCCTCGCTTGGGTGAGTCAGGGTTACAGAACTGGACCGTCTAGCTAACCGTCTGCATACAAATATATCCTGCGTAGATACAGGTCATTCTAGATGAGGTCATTACTAACGTCTGCCTGCTTCTCAGGGAGGCACGCTACGTGCTTTCCGGAGGACCACAACACCAAAGATTTGTGGGATCATTCCAGCAAAATCGCGTGGTCAGATAAAGTCACGGCTTGCCTGACTAGCTTGGCGACTAGAGAGAAATCTGTACTTCCGGGGCGTGGGGAGCGGCAAGGATGGCCTATGATTGGTACAGCTGTCTAAATCACTGCTCTCGGAGCCCAGTGCAGTGCAGTCAGTTATGATTTTTATTTTATCCCGCCATGGTTAAAGCACGCGTGTGCATGCACGCACACTCGTGCACACACCGATACACCAGGTTTCACTCAAAGTCACTGCTCTTCTCATTTAAGCTCTGGGAAATATCCTTCCACAGGCTGTCGAGCCGGACGTGCAAGTCCTCAATAGGTGCCGAGCTGTCCTGAAACTCCTCTGCGGACGGAGAGGGTGAAGACAACTTGAACTTCACGTCTTCTGTCTCCCGGGCAAGGGTCCTGGTGAAGTCTTCTATCTGGAGGAACGTGTCCCTTCTGAACTCTTCGACTCTCGTCCGCACTTCCCGGGCCAGGCCCTCCGCGTAAGGCTCTGCCAGCCAGCGAGGGTCTACGGGCGAGCTAGTAAAGTGCTCTCTCAGGTCACCGGGGTAAAGACTCAGCTGCTCTTTGAGGTGATTGAGGTTCCTTTGGATCTTCTGGTGGAGACCCCTGGCATTCTGGGTCAGCTTCTCGGAGAGCTCCTGGATGTACTGATCCACTTTCTCTGGGCTGGCTGTGGTGTGAGGCACCATGTTCCTGTGGAGCTCTTCCACGTTGCGGTGGATCTCGGCGACGAGCTTGTCCGCGAACGGATGGAAGATTTCCTTCACTTGATCGGTATGGAAAGCTATTTTATTGGCATACTGGGCGATGAACCTCTGAACCTCATCCATACCCTCCCGGAGCTGCGCCTTCGTGTCTTGACTGGGGGTGAGGTGCTGGCGAAGCTCCCCGGCTTTCAGCGACACCTGGTCCAGGAGCTCTGCCGTGAACGGCTGCAGCTGAAAACGAAGCCTCTCCAGGTTCTTGCCTATCCTCTGGTGCACATCATCCACGTAAGGAGACAGTTTCATCCTCAGGCCTTCCAGCTCCTTCCTGATGAGCCTTCGCAGCCCATCGGAGTCTTGATAGAGCCGGGGCTGGAGTCCCGCGCTGAATGGAGCCAGTTTCTCAAGGAAATTTCCCATGTAGCTGCCCCTTTCCTGGATACTTTCCTTCAGGTTTCTGTATGGAAAAAAACAGACACACTAAAGGACAGATCCCTGATTTTATCTTGTCCCTCTGTCACTTGCCTGTAGAAGGGGCTGGATGCCTGCATGTACTGAGCTCTTGGGGTCTTATGCACCTCTCACAAATAAATCCGTCTGCTTGGAAGCGAGTGGGCTGTGGCAGGTTGGTGCCTGTGATGTATTTAACCCAAAAAAAACAGTGTACTCACTTGGTGTCTCTGCCCAGCTTCGTGCTCTGGGCGTGCTCCATGCTGTCCTTGTCGCGCGTGAGCTGGCTGTGGTAATCCCAGGGCCCGTTCCCCGCCGGTTCAGCCTGAGAAGCTGCAGGGGTGGAACAAGAGCATTCACAGAGCAGCCTGGGAGGAGCCCTGGTAAACTGGGCTGCCCAGCAGGACGCGGGGAGGCCGAACAGAGGCATGGGGGACATCTCCCTGGAAAAAATCCCAACGCTAGGACCTACTTTTGGGCCGACAGCACTCAGTCTGCCACTGTCATTATGGTATTTTCCCCTGAGGGCTCTGAGGGAGCTTCTGTACCCTGACAAGTCCCCGAGAAATCCCCTGTCTGAGATGACGTTGCCTTCAGGATGGGCTCCAGGGGCTTAACATCTCTGCTGATCCATCCCAGCACAACGTTCCTCTGGGGGTGGGTGGCATTAACCAAGGGATCCGGGGAGCAGTAACAGCCAGGGCCCAGCTCCAGAAACAGAGGAGCAACAGGTTGAAGTGCAGCAATGAGCTCCGAGCAACTGTGTCTCAGGTGATGCAGATTTGCAAACGAGCATAGACAGGGCCACATCACTGTGGAAACTACCCCAGGTGGGGAGGAACGGGGTCATCTCACCTCGCAACCCAACAGCCCCTCTCACCGAGCTGCCTCCTCGTGCCCTGGCCTGTCCAGAGCGACGCAGTTAGCCTCCACACAGCATTTACAAAGAAGAGCACCCACCTGACAAGCTGGCCAAGACCACAAGCAGGAGTGCAGCGTCCAGAGACATGGTCCGTCTGGTCACACTGCAAGGAGAGGAGAGTTAGTGCAGGTCCTGCCACGGCCCAGACCTCACCTCCACTTTCTGGACTCACGGGGAGGGCTCAGGGTCGTTTTCAGCTTCTGAATTAGATCCCTCTTTCTGCCCAGATCTGTTTCAGGTGTGGGCTGAAATTGCCTGGGCAGCCTGGACTTGGACACTCACCTGGCAGCCTCCGAGGGCCGTACAGTCAGCAGTTTAAAATTATCGGGGGTGTTCAGCTCTGCTTGCAAGGAGATTCCCCTGAGAGCAGCCTGGGAGAGCGGGCAGGAGCTCCCTGGGGAAACCCACTTCCCGTACCCTGTGAGGCACTCAGAAGCCCTGATTCAGGCCCGTTACCAAACTCCTTTGGGAGCTGGCGGTGCGGGTTCAGGCTCCCGGGGAAACACAGACACAAGCACTTTGCCCTGCAGAGGCACTTTCGTCCAGGGCTTTCAAAGCGCTTTGCCATCCAAGTAGCACAGCGTGGCAAGTCAGCGCTGCACAGACTGGGGTGGGTAGCCCAGTTATGCCCTCTGGGACCTAGAGGCCAAGGCTTACAGAGGAGATGTGACCAAGAGGGTGTTGGAGAAAGGGTCCTTTGCTGGGACCCTTTGCTCCCTGAGGCTGCAGTGCCATCCCAGAGCCCCAAGGCCACCTTCCCAGAGCGGGGACCTGAACTCATGAGTCCTGCTCACAGTCCTCTGCTCTAGCCCCCCTGGAGCCACTGCAGAACAACAGTGCGGCACCTCCCGCACCTTACCTGGCTCCTGTTTCCCGCTGCTCCTCTGTGCTGCAGCCCCGGCGCGCTGCCCGCTTTATATGCGCCGCATCAGTCGAAGGCAGAGGCGCTCAGGTCATCGGCTCTCCCACGCACGCTGCAGAGCCAGTCAGTTTGGACCTCACACCATGTAAATACAACGTGGAGGTTCGCTCAGGATGACGTGGGTGCCCAGGTGCAGCCCGTTCACTTACCTCCCCGGCCCTCCCCAGCGCCCAGGCTGGTTCAGGTCCACCTTGCCCATCCAATCGCTCCCATCTCTTGCAGCCCACAAACTTAACCCTTTGTCCGGAGCAGGAGCCGTGCTCCTGTGGCCCCCTGAGCATCCTCTGTGCGAGCGAGCTAAAAATACCGGCGCGCTCAGACAGGCAGGGCTGGTAGCCCGGTGCAGGTCTTGACCCCGCTGGGCTCGGCGGATAAGGGGTTTGCTCGACGGCAATAACAGAGGCTTCGCTGTTTGCTCTGCCGGCGGGTGACGCAGGACTCGGGGCCGACCTTTGCCCCCCAGTCTCGTGCAGCAGAATAAACAGCACGCTCTGTTGACAGAGCTCGGACGGGTGTTGGCCAGCCCCGCAACGGGTGGGGAGCTGTTGTCCTGTGCAAAGCCCCGGGAGAGACCCTGTGCATGGCCGGGGGGAGAGGAGGCAGGGAAAGGCAGGTCTTTAGGGCTGGCTATGGCCTCTTCAGCGATGTTCCCCTCCAACTGTGGGGGGTTGAGGTTATTAGGATTTTATCACCTCCGTGCCCCAGGCAAGACCCAGCCTCGCTGCACCAGTCGCTGTGCAAGTGGGGTGTGGGGGCGGCCTTGCTTGTTATAACATTCATTTCCAGGGGATGAGCTGGCCATGGCACGCGGTGGCAAAGCAAGAACCTACAGCGTTCCCCCCACTTGGGCCATTTCAGAGGGGTGCACGGGACCCTGGTGCTGGAACCGCGGGCTCACTGCCCGGCTCCTGCCCCAGGCAGACGGAGCGGGAAGACACCTGCCAGGGTCAGACGCAGATGCAGGCCCGGGGGACGTGACATGAGCCAAGCCGTGGGCTGGCGACGAAACTCAGGGCTGCGCAGAGGCACAGAGGGTGCCGATGCATTAGGGCAGAGCTGCCCGGGCTTGCTGTGGGGTGGGGAGGGCGGTTGTGTCCATGCTGGGGGCTGAGGGCACCTGCGGCGTTGTAGGGGGCTGCTCACAGGCCGGGGGCTGAATCTGACTTGGGAGAAGCCCCGTGTTGAGGGGAGCAAGCACAGCAACAACCCAGGGTTGGCGTCCCCTTGTCCCAGGAATGGACCCGCAGGCAGCTGCCGTCCCAGCCATGTCCCCAGCGCGTTTCCTGGAAGCCCGTGGCACTGCGTGGCATGGCACAGCATGCTGTGTTTCGGCCTGTTCCTGGCGATAAGGGCTGTTTGTGTGCGGATCGGCAGCGGGTGACAGTCCACGTCTCTGGCAAAGTCCAGATGGGTGGATGGGCAGGGTGAAGCGCCAAGCCATCAGCAGCCCTCCTCCAAGGCCAGAGTCCAGCTCCCGCCCCCGAGCCAGGCAAACACCGGGTTGCAGAGGGCAAGGATGCTCACGTCCTGTTTGCTTCCCTGCCTGACCCCTGACCGCCGCTGTCTGGTCTGCACTGCCCTGCAGTGGAAAGCACGCTCCCCCTGCTCAGATCTGCTCCCGCGCGGGGTCGTGAGAGCCCCTTTGCTTCCCACTGGTGTCCGGTCACCGTGGCACTCGCGCCCGGCCTGCCCGCTCGCCCACAGCGCTTCATTCCCACGTGAATCGGGCTGGCGGGAGGAGGCCTGGACGGCCCAGGTCATGCTGCGCCCGTAGGATGGGAGCAGCCCTGGCTAGGCCTAGCAGGGCAGCTCCCCAGCCCGTGCATCCAGCTGAGCTGTCCGGCAAGGGGGCAGAGGGGCATGGGAGCATGCACCAGCGCAGCACGCACCTGAGCATGGCTCACACGTACAAACCCAAGCCAGCTCAGCACGAGGCATGGCTTGCAGAGGAGCTGCAGCCGGTCTGCCAGCCTGGGGCGATGGTGCCCTATCCATCTCCTGAGCAGAGCGCCAGGGCCATTTGCTCCAAGGGAGAACCAGCGCTCGGCTGTGCCCCCAGAGCTGCCCCCTGAAAGGAGGGGAGCAGAGGTGGCAGAAGTGCCCTCCACCTCCCTGGGCAGGTCCCCAGCTCACACCTGCCAGGGACCTTTGCAGCCTCCCTGGGCCCTGGACTGAGCTCTGCCCTGCCGAGGCACGTCCAAGGCCCTTGGGCCAAGGCTCAGCTGATGCAAGGTGACAGATCCGCATGGACTTCACGGAGCGGCACGGCTCTACACCCAGGGCAGGCCTGTGGCTGTCGGGGCTCGGAGATCTCCCAGCAGTGCCTGGGGGGAGGCTGCTGCTTTTAAATCCCCGTGGATTTAAATGCCCCTGGGGGGGTCAGATCCTGCAGCAGGGGCCAGGGCCAGGCCTCGCAGCCTTCCCCACGGAGTAGAGCGACTGCTCGGGAGACCGCTGCCCTCCCATCCCAGTGACAGCCTGACCCACGACTCCCCCCAGCACAGCCTCGTCCCCTTGTGCCCTCAAAAGGTGGGGGAAAGAGGACAGGGAGACCCCGGGCAACCTTGCTCACCCCCCTGCGCCAGCCCACTCCATCCCCCCGGGGACCCCGTGCGGGATGGGGACTTGTCTCCCAACCGGGCTGAGAGACGAGACGGAGACGGCACGTTGCTGTGGTGGTTTTATTTCTGCAGCTGCAGTGGGTGCAGCGTTTGGGCAGGAACGAAGTGCAGCGAGGACAGGCAGGCGGGCAGCTCCCTCTCCCCACGGGGCTGCCGCGGGGCCGCACGGACGCCCCTCATTGCTCATCCTGGGGCGAGCTCTCGATCTGCTTGAGGCTGCTGAGGAAGGAGGAGAGCTGCTGGCGCAGATCCCTCTCCAGGAAGGCGAGGTGGTCCTCTACACTGCCCGTGTCGGACCCCAGCTTCTGCCGCAGCTCCTCCAGCTTCTGCACCAGCTTCTGGTTGAAGGCCTCCCCGTGGGGCGCGACGTGCTGGCGGAAGTCGTCGATGATGCGGTCCATGCGCTCGCCCAGGCCCTCCAGCGTCTGGCGCAGCCTCTTGCTGTTGCCCTGCAGCTCCTCGGTGTAGGGGCTCAGCTGGCCCCGCAGCTCCTCCGTGCCACGGGCCAGCTGGGCCTGCAGCTCCTCCACCGCCTTCTTCATCTGGAAGGAGAGGCTCTCGACCTGGCGGGCCAGCTTGTCTTGCGCGTCCTGGGCATAGGGAGCCAGGCTCTTCTGCAGCTCAGCCATGCTCTCGTCCACCTTGACCTTGAGATCTTCGGTCACAGAGGCCAGCCGGTCCTTCATGCCCTCCACGTTGCTGTTGATCTGCTCCTGCAGCTGGTCGGCGTAGGGGGCCAGGGCGGCTTGGAGGTTGCCCGCGTTGTCCTGCAGCTGGTCCTGCAGCTTCTGGGCGTAGGGGGCCAGGCTCTGGCGCAGCTGCTCCGCGTTCTGGTCCACGTGGCCGCGCAGCTGCTCGGCGTAGGGCGCCAGCTTCTGCTGCAGCTCCTGGATGTTGCGGGTGATCTGCTGGTGCACGTCGTCGGCGTAGGGCGACAGCTTGGCCCGCAGCTCCTCCAGCTCCTGGCGGATCTGCGCCTTCAGCTTCTCCGAGTCCTGGCTCATCCGGGCCTGCAGCTCGGCGGCGAAGGGGCTCAGCTTCTGCTGCAGGTCGGCCATGTAGGTCTGCACGTTCTCGAATTTGTCCTGCAGGAGGGTGCTGCGGGCGGAGAGCGGGCACTGTCGTCACGCGGCTCCTCCGACCCCCGACACCCGGCGTGAGCCCTCCTGCCCCAGCAGAAAGCAGAGGTCTGTTCTCTGCCCCCCAGCCCCGGCCCCGGCAGGGTCCATCGCCTGTACTCACTTGATTTGCTTGCTGAGCTTGGACTCCTGGAACTGGTCCATCGTGTCCTGTGCGCTGCTCCTCATGTTGGTTAAGTAGCTCCAGACCATGTTGGCCACCTGCTGCGTGTCCAGCTCCGTGTCCAGCTCTGCGTGGCCGCCTGCGGAGGGCGCGAGGATGCTGAGCGCTGGGGCCCCTGCCTCCCCCACCTCCCGTGCAGCCACGTCCCTTACAGGCATCAGGGCAGGTGCTGCATGCCACCCCCTGCCGAGCAGAGCCTGGCCTCCCTGCCTCTGGCTCCAGCACCCATCAGAGGCCGGCGCCAAGTCCCCACGGAGGCTGTGCCCGAGCCCCGCGGGGCCCTACAGAGCTGGGGACGGTGCGGCTGAGCGGGGCACCCTCACTCACCAGCAACGGCAAGGAGTGCCAGGACGAGGGCGAGGGTCTTCAGAGACATCCTGAGCAGCTGCAGTGTGCGGGTGGTTGGAGAAGGGAGGAGTCCTGCATAGAGGAGACGAGCGCGCCGGTCAGTCTCCATTCAGCCAAGTTGCCCCCGCTGCCCTCCCGCATCACGGCATCATTTCCACCCACGGGAGCTCCCCACCATGCCCTGGGCACGGCCAAGCCCATTGCACCAGCACCAGCCCTGGGCAGACCCCCAGCCGCCCTTGTCCTGGCAGCGGCCCCGTGGCCTGCGGCCCAGGCACCATCGATCAGGGGCGCGCTGCCAGCAGAGCCGCCTGCCGCGCTCCCAGCCCCTTACCTGCGCTGCTGCTCGTGGGCTGCCCGCTGTGCCCAGCCGCCTGGTATTTATGCCCCGAGAGCAGCCACGCCGGGCTCCACGCAGGGCTTGGACTTTAGCAGGGACGCGACGTGGAAGTGCCTGACGTGCACGAGGGCGTCGTTATCTGCCCGAGAGCGATGGCGGAGATAGCACGGGCCAGCGGGCGGGAGGGAGGCAGGAAGGGAGACGGGGCTCGAGTCAGCTGGGCTGCGGCAGAGACTGCGTGGGACGGGGCGGGCAGAGCTGGGGGGCCGCGGGGCGCCTTGCCTCTGCACCCCAACGCCAGAGCCAGGGGCTGGGCACGAGTGCCCTGCCAAGCCCAGGGGGCAGAAGGGGCCTGGGCTGCCCAGCCCGCACGAGAGGCAGGACGGCACCGCAGACGGGCAGACAGCCCCGCCGCGTGTCGTGCTGGCCGAAGGGAGCAGCATGGCTGCCGGATACTCCCCGCAGCCCTGGAGCAGGGGCCCGGGTCTGGCTGGGCCTGCCCGGGACTCCTGGCTTCCTCCCCTGGCTCCAGCATTGATTTCTAGAGCGTGGCACTTCCCCGGTCCCCGGGCCTCGGTTTCCCCATCCTGTAACACGGGCAGGATAACGATGCCCTCCCTGCCAGGCACGTTGGGACACAGGGGCCAAAGCAGGCCAATGCAGGGCTATTGGGGCCAGCTGTGCCACGGCCCCGCACCCCGGGGGGGAGCCACGATTTCCAGCCAAGGTCCGGGGCACTGGCCGTGGCAGGATCTGTCCCTAACGCCCCAGACCTGTGCTGTGCAGGGCAGGAAGCCCATCTGGGCCCTTGCTTGGAGCCTGTCTGGCAGCCGGATCCAGCGGGCAGAGCCAGCCCCCTCCAGGCCCACACCCCAGGAGCGAAGGCAGTGCCCAGCCGCGGCGTCACCCACGGGGCAGAGCCCATGCCACCCACGTCCAATGGCCAGCAGCAACACCCATGGCCGGAGCGCCCGGGGAAAGGTGCCCACGCCAGCCTCATGCCTGGCCCGGCTGGAGGCGCAGCATCGTGTGCTGCCAGGAGGGCGAGCGGGTTGGGCACAGGCTGCCCCATGTTGCGCCCGGCCGGGGAGGCGTGTTTGTGTCTCTTGGTTGCGTGTCAGACGGGAGCTCCCCGGGGCCGGGGCAAACAGGGCCGTGTTATGCAACCGGGGCCTGCGGGCATGTGCCAATGGGGACCTGCGTTCCTCAAAGCCTCCCGCTCCGGCACCTCGGCTTGGGGGAGTTCAGGCCTTTCTCGTGCGCGGCGGGTTGGACGCAGCCCCCTTTGCCCCACGCAGCAGACGGCTGCACCTGGGAGTTTCATAGTTTCTAGGGTCGGAAGGGACCTGGGCAGGTCATCTAGTCCGACCCCCTGCCATGGCAGGAAAGAGTACTGGGGTCAAACGACCCCAGCAAGATGGTCATCTAACCTCCTCTTAAAACCCCCCAGGGTGGGAGCCTGCACCACCTCACTTGGAAGCTGGTTCCAGACCCTGGCCGCCCTGACCGTGAAGTAGCGCCTCCTGATGTCCAACCTAAACCTTCCCTCCGCCAGCTTGTGACCGTTATTCCTGGTCACTCCTGGCGGCGCTCGGGGGAACAGGGACTCCCCCAGTGCCTGTTGATCCCCCCTGACTAGTTTATAGCAGGCCACAAGATCCCCCCTCAGCCTTCTCTTCTGGAGGCTGAACAGGTTCAGGTCCCGTAACCTTTCCTCATAGGACCTGCCCTGCTGTCCCTTGATCATGCGAGTGGCCCTCCTCTGGACCCTCTCGATGCTGTCCACATCCCTCTTAAAGTGCGGCTCCCAGAACTGGACGCAGTACTGCAGCTGCGGCCTGACCAGTGCCGCATAGAGGGGGAGGATCACCTCCTTGGTCCTGCTTGAAATGCATCTGTGGATGCACGACAAGGTGCAGTTGGCCTTCCTCGCCGCCTCCCCACACTGCCGAGCCATGTTCATCTTGGAGTCGATAATGACTCCAAGATCCTTTTCCGCCTCCGTGCTGACAAGAGGGGAGTTCCCCAGCAGAGGGAGGGGTCAGCAGTGCCCATATTGTGCCCCTTGTCCCAGAGCCACCGCCCGCGAGGTGCCAGGCGCTGCACGCTGCAGCTCAGCCAGCAAGGGGTGCTGCGAGCGCATGGGACCCAGGCCCCAGTCCCACGGGCAGCGCCCTGCCACCGCTGCCCCAGCCCGGGGGTCCGCTTTTGCCTCGGGGGCTGTTGGCAGCTCAGGTCCTGAGCACTGCAAATGCACGTGGCAGAGGGATCTGCCCCCGGGACCCCGGCAGAGCCCCACACGCACCCGGCCCTACCCCTCGCGCCTGACCCCGGCAAAGCCCGTGCCCGTTTGCCCCCCCGGCACAGGCTCAGCGCCCTGCTCGCAGCACGTGGCGACGCAGGGACGAGGGCAAGCGGCAGGCGCCGTCCGAGCAGGAGGGCACAGCGGGGCAGAAGGCAGCGCGCCAGGATCGGCCCACCAACAGCCTTGGCCCCGGGTCGCGGGGGATTTCTCAACTCCCCGCCGACGCCCCGCTCCCCAGCAAATCTGGTGCCACCGACGCGAGCCGGGAAGGCCACCGGCCGGCCGAGCCAGTGCCTGACCTTCGCCCCAGCACCCGGCCAGCTGCATCCCAGTGGGGTATATAACTGGCCAGGCTGGGGCCAGGACCAGGGAGCGGAGCCGAAACAGCCACGCCAGGGGGCGCGGGGGGGGGGGGGGGGGGGGGGGCCCTGCCGCTGCCCATCTGCCCGGGGGTGGGAGGCCGCGGGCAGCTGGTCTGTTTGCAAACGCCCCATCCAAGGGTCCCGGGCGGGTGCAGGGGGGGCAAGCGGGGCCCCCGCCCCGCTGTGCTGTCTCCCCAGCCTGCACCATGAGAGCCCCGGTCGTGCTCGCTCTCCTCGCCGTGGCGCTCCTCGCCGCCCTTGCACGTAAGAGCTGGGGCTGGGAGGGCCACGGGCAGCCCCCGGGCAGGGCAGGGCAGGGCACCCCTCACCGCACCGGGCCTGTGCTTGCAGAGGCTCAGGAGGAGCCGGAGGACACGAACCTGGCCAAGGAGAACTACATGCAGCAGGTGACTCAGAAAATCAAGGACACCCTCGCCTCGCTTGACATGAGCGGGCTGGCGCAGCAGGGCAGGTGCGTCGGGGGCCGGGCGCGGCCGTGCCGCGGGCACCTGCCCCTCGCACCCCCTCACCGCCTCCCCTCTCCAGGCAGTGGGCGTCAGAGCATCTGGACGCCATCCAGAGGTACGTGGAGGAGCTGAAGAGGACGTTCATGCCGTCACAGGCCAACTAGGGAGCCCCGGGTCCAGCGTGCCACCGGGGGCCGAGGGCACGGAGCCCTGCG